AGAAATACTGATCATGATTTAGATTTAAAATAAATGATGTTTTTAAAATAAATTTTTTGGGGGTGGGTCCCAGGGATTGAACTCAGGGGCACTCATCCACTGAGCCACATCCCCAGCCCTATTTTGAATTTTATTTAGAAACAGGGTCTCACTGAGTTGCTTTGAGAAACTAATGTGACTCCATTTTTGAAAAAAGCTTCTATCTCAAAGCCTGTCCAAGGAGAGGGGCGAGATTCTTGTCCTTGGAAAAACACAGAGTACTCCTAAGCACATACCCACCCTGCTGAGATGTTTGTCTGCAAATAACAGGAGAGATCTGCAGTGCCATGTGTCCTGAATCAATTAGGCTAGGTAAAGACCCATAGTAACCCCCTAGCAACCATCAATCAGCATGACTCAGGGAAAATAACCTGGGATGCCAGAGGACCCTCAGTAGTTTATGGTGGTTGATAACATATTGGGAAACCATGTAGTTTAGCACATACACCTCTCATCGCTTAAGCCAATAAGTTCAAAGGAATCCCCCTCTTCTACTAACCAATCACCCCTACCCAACTTGTTCCCTCCAGTGAACGTGCTAATCAATGTAAAGAGTTGTTGTTTGATTTCCCCAAAAAAGTATGGAATGATTTACTGTGTGATGTGAAGCATAGAGTATTCCCCCCAAACCTATAAAATCTCACTGAACAAAGGACCGGGACTCACTCCTTGGAACTGCTGTTTCAGGAATGGTTGTGAGTCCAGGCTTGTTCTTGCAATAAAGACTCTTGTGTGATTGCATTGGATTCAGCTCCTGGAGGTCCATTGGGGTCCCAGGAATCTGGCATTACAGCTTAGCACCTTGCTTTTGCTAAGGCTGATATTGAACTAGCAATCTTCCTGCCTTAGCCTCAAGAGCCACTGGGATTAGAAAATAAAATTTAATGAAATGTGAGCTTTAGATAAGTAGAAATGGAATAAACTACTTCTGTTATTAACAATATGTCACTGTACCATTTTTTTTTTTTTTTTTTTTTACCTTTTTGGTTCTATCTGAAGATAGCACCTGAAACATAAAGGTGCATGTTTTCACACTGACCACACAGGAATTTGTTCAGGAATTTTTCTCTGATTGCTTTAAAATTTCCAGTGCAGTAAATAATATCATGAACTGAAACTGTAAATTGAAACAATGTATTGGAGATTTGAGAAGAGAAAAAAAAAAAACTCATAAAATAGTCATCTAGATTGAAGAATGTCTTATATTTTCTACATAGTAGGAAACCACCATGCATTCACATGATCAAGAATTTTATGTGTTGGGGCTGGGGATGTGGCTCAAGTGGTAGTAGCACGCTTGCCTGGCATGTGCAGGGTGCTGGGCTCGATCCTCACACCACATAAAAATAAAATAAAGATGTTGTGCCCACCAAAAAC